CGATAGCGGGCTTATATCCCCCCGCCTGCCAGTGACCAAACAGTGCCAGGTCCTCTTTGTCCCGGTTTGCAGGCTCTGCAAGGCGCGCCTTCCTCGCCTGGTTGGAAAAGCCTTTCACCATCTGTGCAAACACAATGACCGAGCCTGTACCACCACCACAAGCTGCCAGTGATTTCAGGCTTTTCCTAGGACACCAAAGAAGGCAGCTCTGGGAGACAAGAAATGTTTATTTCCTAGCTTCACTATCCATTGCTTATAAATGATAACGCACAGCACCTGTATGCAGGAGGGAGCCTACAGTTCATATACAATGCTAGGATGCTTTTAAAGAAGATGAAAAGGGTGCAGTTCTACATACCCTCGCGGTGGGAAGAACAGATAGCAGGGCTTTGGGTAGTCTATAGAAAACTATAGGTACAGTAGATGGACAGATTCACGATGCAGCTACTACAAACCATGCAAGCAAGTGAGAAATCTACATCTGCTGACAGAGACAAGGCAAAAACCAAAACAGAACTGAGCTTGAACTTTAGAGGGCAAACGTGCTGCACAAGAGGAAGTCAAACCCTCTTACCTTGTAAGGCACTTCTCCAATCCTCACCACTCGGGCTTTCTTCAGCCAAGTGTCCTTGGAGTGCAGCGTGTGTACGCAGTCTCTAAAAAGGCCGTAAGGAAGCAACCATAAGAGCTTTGAAGTTTCTCCATAAGAGACTTCCAAACTGTTATTCACATTAGGAATAGTAAAAAAGCTGTATCTAAGTGATATACAAATGCTGTCTGAGCAGATAAATGCCTCACCCTGTCTATGCGTGTGACCTGAGACTACTGCTGATTGATACCATTGTGGTCTTCACATAAATTAGCTCTTAAATTTGTTACGAAGATCACACTTGTGCATGACAACATGTGCACCACTCACCTGGAGTAGACAGCCTCTCCCCTGCAGTACCCCAGGATAGCAGCTGACTCAGGATAGATTGCCTGGTATTTCAAGAGGTGCCTCTTCAGTGCATAAAGAGGGTGGTTTTTGTACTCTCCAATTGCTGTTGGTAGAGGTTGATCTTGAAGCTTAACTTGAAACTGTAGGGGTTACACAAAGAAGAGTGATTTCACAACCCTCTTGCACTACCCTTGGTAAGAAAATAATGATTATAGTATTGGTCAAAGGAAAAAAACACCAGAAACTTAAATCAGATGAGCCAACGACCAAAGCATTCTTGCTGGGACCAGGTACTTAAATGTGTACCTCGACCTACATATTTTAAGGACTCTCTCTGAGAAGAGTAATGCTAAACTGTACAGAAACCACATTCGTACATTTGCAACATGGGCTGGGCAGTACTTCTGCTATCTGGATTTCTCTGAACAGCCTCCATTTGATACTATCTTAATTTATCATTGTATATTCCCGTTAAAACATGCTCAATCTGAACATTTCAAGCTCAAATACAAACCTCCCTCCTCCTGGAAAGATTCCTAATGATTTTTGCCTGAGTGAGAATCCAGAGACTGGTCTCCTGGCACTAAATGTCCTGAATAACCTATTGCAATTTACCTCATTTTCCTCCTTCTTGTCTCTTTCCACATAGGGACTTTTATACGGCTGCAGTGTGTCTTCCCACCACTCAGGGTCCACACGACTCTTCCTTGTCACGGTCATCCACACTGGGTCGTATCTTTGTGTCACATCCCTGACACTCCCATCATTGTCAAATCCCACAATATAGAAAAGCGGCTTTGTGGCATATGTAAAGCACAGCTGGGGCTGGCCAACGTTGCCATGAACACAGTCTACGCACACCCATTTGTCCTCACGTTCAAGGAAAACTTCCAGCCACTGGTCTGTGCCTATCACTTTCCTTACCTCCTGCTGTCCATCATCCTCATCACTAGAAATTATTTTGTTTCTCTTTCTCTGCACATGAGGCAAGGCTGGAGCTGCACTTTTTGCTGGCTTAGGCTCAGCTCCATATGAATTTTTGGATAGCCTTGATTCTGAAGTCTCAGGTTTTGGGCTTTTTATAGCTGTTACTTTTGACTTCTGGGAGCCTAGTTTGCTCTTCCGCCTTTTAGAGACATTTTCAAAATCCTCATCGGAGAGACCACTCTCCTCCTCTGAAAATTCAAAGTCCGAAGCACTGCGCTCATCACTTCCACTCTCTTCTTTGTAACACACTTTGGAGGCCACTCGTCTCCGGCGATCATTCTTGGGCCTGACTGGCACATCTTTTTCCACTATACTGCTCTCTTCTTTACTAGACTCCTTCTGTTCCTGGCTGCCTGTAGTCAACTTTGACTTGCGTGTCCTTTTGGTCTGAGCAGTTTGGCATTTCTTTGGCTCCTTGTTGTCTTCTTCACTCTCTGAGGATTTTTCATCCTGTTTGGCTTTTCTGCAGGGGCATTTTTTTGCTACAGCTTTGGGTGCTGTGGCAGAACTCTCCTGCCCCTCGGAGGTACTGCTGAGAGACTGCCTCTTGGATGAGCTTTTTCCCTGCAAAGAAAGAAGCTAGGTCACTTTTATTACCATGGCTAAAAATAAATTAAAAAAACCCAACCTGAAATCAGCTCGAGGTGCATGCAGACCAAAGGTTGGCCACCATGATAACTCTGCATGTCTTAGGGAGTTGAAAACTTCAGGCAAATGACTGAAGAGAAGTGTACTCAAGCAGCAAGTGTTTGCTGTCTCAGTTTTAAAGGAATTTAAAACCACTGAAGCATAAGAAGTCTTTGCTGAAACACATAAAATGGGTGGTTCTTTTAGAGGAGAAACCTAAAAACTAAGGGTTTGCGTCTTCTGCACTATAGACGCATAGAACATGTCATCACCCTGGTTCATGCAGTAAGTGATTAACTTCAAGCTGCAGCAGCCAGAAAGTTCTTTTCAATCCTACTCACTAAACCAGTGACCTATTCCTTATTCCACACACCCAACAAACACTACCTTTGCTCTTGTTTCCTTGAGAGGAATAGGCTGAAAAGACAGCACGAGACGACACAGCAGCTGTAATGCTCGCAGAATAATTAAAAATATCTGCAAAAGAAAAAATAAAGCAAGTTTAACCTTTTTTCAAGGAATATTAAAAAAATACTCTTGAAATTCTTTTACAATCTGGGTTCTTTCACAGATCATTTTCATTTCTACATTGTTACCAGTGCTGTATACACTGACACAGATGTGTAGGTAGCCCAGTTGCTACAGTATTAAAGCACCACGCAGTCTTCTCTGGCTCTTGTTTATGGTACTACAGTGACAGGGGTACTGCTGTTAACTCACAGATGAGGAACCGATTCCTAAAGAGGCCAAATGACCCATCCTGCTTGAGCAGATGCGCTGTCACCCAAACCCCATGTACCCTATCACTCTCTCACTCTTGAGGAAAACTGAGTAAGATGACTCTAAATCCTGCCTCCCAAAGGTGGCCAAAGGCAACCACACACCATCAGCAGAACCCAGCAGAAACACCAGCCATTCAGAGGATGTCATTACAGGCACAACTGAGTGGCTAACACCTGTGACCCGGCAACTGCCTTCCTGCATGAGACCCAACTGAAGCTGCGCCGGCAAGACTTGCTTTGTCTGTTCCTCCTGTCCCAGGAAGTGACATCTCTGCATTTCCACTGCAAGGCTGCAAAGCCACCAGAACAACTGCTTCCTGCTTTGCAGCAGAGAAGCTGCAACGTCCCACTTTATCAGCAACAGGGCAGAGCTGCAAGCTGTGCACCTGAAAAGCAGCAGCTCGTGTCTGCTCTTTCAAATGTCCCCTATCAATTTGATCTCCTGTGTTTCCCTCTCCCTCGGTTGTTTTACCAAAATCTCTGTGTGACTTGAAGCAACTGACTCCACTTCTTCCCTTAATCCAATTCCACCACAAAATGACCGTAGAGTTGAAGTCCTTTTGAAGCCTTGGGCTGCTCTAAATCAAAGCTCAATTCCTTTGGCCTTCAGTATTATTATTATTACTCATAGTAATAAACTACCAACCGTCTAACTAACTCAAAGATCTGTAAAAAGTTTCTCTGGCTGTAAGTGAGCCCAAGAATTTCCTCACTCAAATTAGTATTTCAGAAGAAACCTATTAAGCTGGTTTTCTTTGATCTACACTGCTAAAGCAATATAAAGAAGCCAAAGCACAATTAGGAACAAGTAGCTCTATACACTGTACCTAAAGTAATCCACAGCAGAACATGGAGCACGCAGTGACATCAACCAGAATTAGAGTGCTCCAGTTAGGCACAGTTCAAACTGAATAATTTAATCACAGAAGAATCCAGATAAAAATACAACAAAAAAGCCACAGAATCACCTAAGTCACCAATTGGTTTTCTGCAAATCCATCCCTCAAACACCACTTTGTGTATGACCTGACAGCACTACAGCACTGATCTGGCAGCCAAACTCAGCAACCAACCCTGCACTTCCCAGTCACTTACATGAACCAACTCTTCATCATCCCGTGCAGCATAGATGGCAAAGCGCCTCTCCAAGGTCGACTGAAGGGGCTCTCCTTTTTCAGTGGAAAGCTCATCATTGACAGTGAAGGTTCCAACAAACCTGAAGTATGAGACACCTACTTATTGTCTAGTGTTTGTGATTGTAATCTTAAACTTCAGAGTTTATCCTTTCCTTCTGTAAAAAGGACAGACTCTCACCTCAGAAAAATCACTGAAAATTGGTAATTACATTTACTCCTCTCCCTGAACCCTGGCTCTACATTCTATGTGATAGCATGATTAGGAGAGAGAGTTTTACCATTTCACCAAGTTGGAAAGGTAGAGAAGGTCCACTTGGCCTGCAGACACTTTCGTGAAGTGGGTAGGGATGATGGACAGACCAATGGCATGAAGATCTGGCTGACTGCAGATCCTGTTCCTGTAGAAACCATTTCCTAGTAAACACAAGAGGTGAACCTGAGAGAAAAAAGTTTCTACAGTGAGTTCACAAGAGATTTTCTTTGCTGGAAGTATTGTCCATGGTAAAGATGAGGAAGGCTTTACTGCTCCTTTCAAGAGAGACAGGCAACACTGAAGCCTCCCAAGCATACACAGTGGACACAGGGCTGTCTTCAGTTCCATTAGAAGACAGAAAAGCCTTGAAGCCCCTGTCAGTGTTTCCTGCTCTACATGAGACAGTTTAACCCTGGCAGAATGAGCAGATACACACTCAATGGAGAAATATACACCCTACTCACATCTGCTTTGAGTTAGAATTTTACTAATGCAGTCACTGATGTTTCTAACTTACAGTTTAGGAGAAGTCTAATGAGCATTTGGACTACAGACTTTTTATTTTTTCACTTCTAGCCATGGCCCCAAATTATTTGATCAAAATTAGTTTCTTCTTCATTACGTATCAGTTCAGACATCTTTACGCCCAATTTTTTCTCTGCCAGGTTTCTCTGTGACCAATACCTTATGTGTGTCCTCACGAACCTCCTTGCTGAAACGTTTCATCATTCTCCGAAGATAAATCTCAAACTCGGCTTTCCTCTTTTCTCTGTGTAAGATTACAAAAGAAATGGATGTTGTGGGTTTTCTAGGAACCTGCCTTTCTAGATTCCTGAATTGGATCAGTTCTCAAAGAGAATCCATCCCAGAGAATCTTCCGTGCACACTTAACACAAGTTTAGTTACTGGCTACATGAATAGGCATGCAGCTGCACATGACTAATAAACTGTGAACTCCACGCACCAAACTACTGAGAGCTTGGGTATATTCAGATGGCCTAACTTCTACCTAACTTTACGTGCCTATAGTTTCCTACCAGACAGCTCTGGACAGCTCCAACTTAAACTTATAATTCACCGTCTGAATTGTTTGAGTTTTAGATTACTGCTAGCATTCCATTCAGATTCCTGGAAAAATGGTTTTCTCTTCATTGATGAAATCATTTAACTTAAAAGGCAACAGATATTCTGGCTGCTTTGTTATGAAGGGCTGGCCCGGCACAGTGCCCACCCTGTAACAGCACGAAATATCATCAGGCCTCCAGCTGCCACACAAAGCAAGCCGTCCTTGGTATAATGCTTCCAGATGCCAAGGGCATTCATTTGACCCACCTGCTCACACCTCAAGTATGGACACACAGAGGCCTCCACCTGAGCTGCTAAGATATTTACAGTACAACAACGGCATTCACCCAGAGTTCTCCTTGAAGACAGCTACTGCTGTCCCTGGTTTGGAAATGCAGATATTAAAGCACAATGAAGTTACACGCTTGATTTTCAAGAAAGGAAAAACCTCCACCAAAGATTTTTGGTAAAACTGTCAGTGTGTAAACTGTTCTCCATTCCATGACCTCACATCATTCCAACTCTGCACAAAATGAGGATTTCCACCCAGAACAGAGCAAGTCAGTGACAGTCAAGACTTAGCATATTTTTAACTTCATCCTTTAATGGCCCTCTGCTACCTTCCCTGTTCTTACCTCCTCTGTCTTTTCTTCGCCTGCTCTGGGGTTTCAATCTCTATCTCGACAGGGTTGCTTGGCAGCACCACCGCCGGAAGAGCAGCAGCTTCTTCTAACTTATCTGTGGCAGGTTCCTGGAGTTCTGGAAAAATAAAATATTACTAAATGGTAAGTAACATGGAATAGATGCCCCAGAAAGGTCTGACAATGGGATAAGAACCTACCTATTCCTTCTCAAGTGTTCAAACAACCTACAGACAGAACATGCCCAGTAATTACCAGCTCCTGGATCTTCCATAACACTGTGTGTGCTCAGTTATTTCAAATAACTGTGGGATCCCAGCCACCTGTTGCTGAGGAATCAGCTCAGCGCCGTCTAATGGCAAGTGACTGCCACAGGCAAACTCAATCAGGAGAAAGGTGAATGAAGCACATGTGACTTGAAAGGTACTTGTAGAGTAGCAAAGAAAAAACCTGACAACTGTTCACTTTGGAAGGCATAAAGCTGTAACAGCAAAATTCAAAGATTATGACCATTGTGATTCTTATCACAGTTTGTTGATGGCCACCTAATCAAACAGCTCAGTTGGTTTCATCTCCACTCTCCTGTACTAGGAAGTTGCAGGTTAGCTGCTCAATATCAGACAACACAAACGCTGATAAAGTGCTTTGTGCATGGTAGCATAATTTTAACGTAAGCCAACAAATAGTCAAATTCAAGGCACTACCATCTGTGGTTGTCTGTTTTTTTTCTAGTTTGCAACCATTCTAAAAGCATTGTGAGACATGAGCTTTTAAAGATACAGATATGCACGAGGCACACTTCAGATATACGGAGTACACACATTTACCTGAATCCAAATGAGAAATGGTTCAAAAATCAAATTAGAAAAGTGTTTAAGAATATTTACTCCTTAAAATGAATAAACATGCAATTGTTACCTTCCACATCCTCCCACTCATCTTCACTTTCATCATCATCATTGCCAGTATTGTCTTCATCCATCTCTTTTTTAACAGGAGATTCACTCTTCAACTTCTTCTCCTGAGGGGGCTTCAGCAAGTCACTGTTAAAATTATCAAAATGGCTTTAGCATCAGGAAGTGTAGGTGCTTGTTTATTTAAGAAAAATAGAGAAAGAACACACTATAAATAAGGAAATAAATGAAGCATGACTTCTGCATCAGTAACAACAGATTGAGTACTTGACAATTAAACCACAGTGACCTTCTCTGTAAAGCAAACCATTTTTGCCAGAAATAATCATGGGCTCAATGGAGCAACAGTTTTTCAGTGCAAACTTAGGTCATGGTTCTGCAAGATGTTTAGGAAGGAAGATGCCTGAACCTACAAAAGGCCCCATCCTTTTGAATAGCTTGTACAAATGAGTCCTTGGAAAAATGGTTCACTGAATCATTTGTTCTTATTGAACCTTCAAAGCATACTGAAAGTGGAAGTGTTTCTGCTTCACTACATCAATACCCAAGGCTCTGGCTGGTCAGTGAAATGAGACCAATCAGGTTAATTTTGTTTTATTAACTCATTTGCTATAGCAATCACAATGGGCAGAGCATATTGGTATTATATCTGGATTCCAAAAAACACCAGAGAATGATATGTTTAGATTTCTGCTCATCATTTTAAATCCAAATCTCAGGCCAACATTTCTATTCATGCTGGATTCCATAGCGCCTCCCTACTCCCATGAAAAAACTATAACAAGTGAAATAAAAATTTATATTTAAACCACTTAATTTGAAAAGGCTCACATATTTGCTTCCCATACAGTCTATCTCCCTCAGGACTGACTCCGCAATGACTAAGGCAGTACTTCTGTTCAGCTGTGTGATAGAAACATACTAAAATGGACTGATAGCCTAAAATAAACTGCTCACATGCACATATGCAGCACTGGGCCCTAAACAAATAACATGCAACCATGAAGATGGAGCTCCTATAGACTTGAACGATAAGTAAACTTACCTGCATGTCTCCTCTTTGTTAGGATTCCCTTTATTTCTAGTAATTTTTTTGTGTTCCTTTGTTAGTGATTTTGCCCCTTTTTGTTTTGAAGGCCTATTTGCTGACTTGGAAACCCTAATATCACAATCTTCTTTCTTCTTCCTAGCCAGAGCTTTTGAGTCATTCTTCTTTATACTGGGCTTTTTCTCTTCAAAATCATCTGCATGGGACAGAAGAAAGGAAGGTATGTTAAAAGGATGAAGTTTCATCTCTATGACAATCAGAAAAAACACCTCCACAGACTTCATTAGAGCCAACTACAGAAGAAAGTGAGCACTCACAATGATGAGCATGCCATCGTTTCTGAATAAATAGGTAAGAAGTGTACAACAAGACCTGTTTAAGGAAAATACTCATAATAATATAGTGGACAAGAAGTACATAAAGATTCCTATAGTCCTACCAGTGGGGTCAGTTGAAAAACAAGCATCACACTTGCCACTCATAAGAAATTATTACTCTGTGAAGCTGCTCTGGAGAACTTTTTCAGGGCACCTCCCGGGACACAGACCCGCACGTCGCTGCC